GTTGTTGATGCTGATGATGATGATGTTGGCGGTGATGATGACGATGAAGTTGGTGGTGTCATGAATGATGTTTCGTCTGATTGTTGGGATGATTTGTGCTTATTTGTTGCTGTTGTTGACGATGATGATGATGATAATGTTGTTGTTGTTGTTGATAGTGATGTTGATGAGGAGTTCAAGTTACTTCTATTCAACAAAGGTTTCAACAATAGACTCGTCTTACTTTTAAATAAATATTTCATCTTTTTATCGCCCAGTTTTTTCCCGCGGTCCATTTTGTTAATTTTTTCTTTGTTGTGGCTGTTATCTTTGTTAATGTTTTTAGATTTTGTTTCTGTGAAATTTGAATTTTTGCATTCTTTGTTGTTGTTGTTGTTGTCGTTGTTGTTGCTGATGTTGTTGTTGCCGTTGCTGCTATTTTCGTTGGAGCTTTCGACGGAAGGATTGCTCGTCGTTCGGAAGTGAACGCCTTTTGTTGTCGTGTTGTTGCTGTTTATAAAGTTGTTGATGATGTCATTACCATTAGCGGTGACGTCATTTTCATTGTTGTTGTTGTTGTTGTTGTTGTTACTGTTACTCTTATTGATAATTACGTCATTATTGTTGATGGAAGCTGAGCCAGTGTCGTTGTTGTTGTCGATGTAATTTTCAACGTTCTCCGACGATTGCAAATTGCAATTGGCGTTTATTTCTACGCAAACAACATTTGGCGACCGCTGCTGCTGTTGTAGTACTAGTTGCTGCGACTGTTGCTGTTGTTGTGGTGATGGCGGTAGCTGCTGTTGCTGCTGAATGTGAGCAAGTACGGAATCTAATGGAACTGTTGACGAGCGTTGCATCATGTGAAGCTGCGTTATGAGCTGCTGTTGCAGGAAGCGTTGCAAGGTCGCCACAATTTGACTCGTTGGCTCTTGCTGAAAACTTTGAATATTTTCGTTTGAAACGTCGCCAAGAGAATTAGTGTTGACTAAATCGGGAAAGAGAGAAGATGATGTTGAAGGGAGAGGAGGGGGCGTTGAGATGAGGGACTGCCTTTGGGGGTCGAAGATTTCTCCGATTTTGATGTTGGGTACGGTGCTCATCCTGCTGAGTCTTCTCTGGCGGGCCTCCAACGTTTTGTTCATGTTCTCCGAGAAGTTCTTGTATATCACTGAATCTCTGTGCTTGGAAACAATCTGCATGGAGGAATGCATGTGTGAATTATGAATGAATGATTGAATGAATGAACGAACGAAAGAACAACGAACGAACAAATGAACGAACGAATGAGCTAATAAATTAGAGCTAATTAATGAATTAAATGAACGATGAACGAACGATCGAACTAACAAATGATTGAAAAAGTAACTGAGCGTTATAATAAAACAACAAAGAAAACAAACTTTAATAGAATCTAAATTTTTTGGTTTGTATCCGGGGAATCTTGTTTCTGGGGTCCTGACGATACGAATGGACTTCCACTTGTGTAAAAAGAGGCCAATGGTTGTCAACCATATCCCGATAATGATGGCGAGTATAATGATTTCTCCCGGCTCTACTAAAAAATATTGTTGCTGTTGCGGAGATTGCTTACTTCGATGTTGTTGTTGTTGCGGCGTTGTTGTAGTTGATGCATGTTGCAGTTGTTGTTGTTGTTGTTGTTGCTGCTGTTGATGTGATGTGTTGTTGAAATAGTTTGTTGTTAGCTGTTTGCGGAGATTTTTCAACAGAAGGATACTGTTGTTGTTGTTTATGTTGTTGTTGATGTTGTTGTTGCGACTGTGCCCGTTGTTGTAATCATCCAAACGAATTTTCTTATCAATGTTGTTGATGTTGTTATTGCAATTAATGTCGTTGCTGTTGTTGCAATTGACATTGGAACCATCAGCATTATATGAATCTTCATCATTCAGATATTGTTGTTGTTGTTGCTGCTGCTGTTGTTGTTGTTGATGATAATGATGTTGTTGTTTGGGCAAACGTATAAACATGATTAAACTCTTGTTTTAATAATCCGCTTAAATTTATAACAAAAAAAAATATAAATTAATAACGTCTTCTATGAAACTGTAAATCACAAATTACACCTATGCAACTGTCGAGGTAGATATACACACACGTACACACACACACACACATACACACACACACACACATGCGCGCACATATACTAACACACACTAAT